GTAATTCAGTCAGGGACTCATCTCTGTGAATCACAAGCTTTTCCTCACAGGATGTGCCTGCACTCACGCTCTTCGCCACTTATGTATTATTTCAGAACAAAACCTCTGCAATGAGAACTAGGGCCACTTTACCACTGGGTTGTTTTCCAATTGCACATTAAGGCCAATTGTAAGTCAATATACAATATATCTGTCAATATTTGTTGAGTTGTATGCTAACTTTTGTATTTCTAACAGAATTGCATCCACTCGAGAAGAGAACGTTTTTACAGCATTAACAGTAATAGTAAACACAATTAAATGTTGGCGTCTTTATTGCATAGAGGAAATTGCACAGAGATGCTCTTTTGTTTTAAACCAATCCGTCTCAGCATGTGACCAAGACTCACTCTATAACTCAAATGTCAACATGAGAATATATTTGATCAATTCTCAAAATAAGTGATATATTTTCATTTTTAATAATTTGCAACTTCTATATTCAACTTGCCACAAATAAAGTAACCTAACAAATATTTTGGATTTTTAAATAAGCGCTGGCCACTGACAGGTATGGTAAACACTATTTGTCGTCTGTAGCATACGTTTATTGTAAACTTTATCGCACTAAAAGATTATGTTAATGTCTGGATATGCTAATTTACCAAATGGGAAAATAATGGGAGAGAATTTCAATGGTTCCTGAGATTGTGTTTCCATATTTGCATACGGGCCGCCTGAAGTGCAGATGATAATTTGAAGGGTTACGAAGAATTAGACCTGTGTGGTAGAGAGGGATAGTGCATTTAAAACAAAAGGTATGCAAAATCTGATTCAACACAGGATGTGGGCTTATTTTGGTGAAACACTAGTACACTAGTACACACTGCAAAGTGTGGGTGACTGCTGTGTGGTTGGAGGCTTGCACAGAACCAATGGGATGTTGGCCTGTACTGACCCCCACCTGTTTCCCATTAATCCCATTAAAGCATTGCCGTTTCCTAGAACTGTGTATTGTTTGTGTAAGTCTGTGATCAATTAGACTTAATTAGGAATATGAAGTGTGAGTACAATACACATTTAAATAACAGGGCTTCTAAACCTGGACTTTGACACTAAATGGACACAAAACAAGCTAATAATGGCAGTGGTATTTCGGTTTTGCAGATTGCGTTTTTGCTTGAATAGGAATACAAATGTATTATTTTCTGTAGTATGTCTGATAATTGTAGAATTACATGTCTGAAATGATTCATTTCATTCATTGACATGTAATTTAATGATTATTTACTGGTACAGGATATACATCCCCAAGACCAGACTCTCTAAGGAACAAAACAGAGGTGAAAATTGAAATGTCATACATTTTTTTAAATGGACTTTATGATACAAAACATCCTTTGTTGACCAGCATTTCTCCAATCTATTAGACCCCGTCTGTGTCCTGATGTCTTTTTCAGTTTGGTCACTAATTTTAATTGACAGTAAAGCCTAAAAAATAAGCACTGAAAAGTTTCTGTGACTATTTTGTCTTTGAACAGTTTCTCATCACCTGTTCAGATCTAGTTAAATAAAAGATCCTTGACGCAGCCATCTCTCTCTGCATGTGATGAATTTGTATATTTAAGGTTATATAGAATTAGTTAAATATGTTGTTCTGATGTCCCATCTCTGCTTGTGTTCAATTACTACCAAATGTTCTGTTTGTTCTTCTTTTACAGTTGGAATTGGGATCTTGTTATAGTGCAAAGGAGAGCAGTCAGCATTTCCAGAAACTGCTGCGGGGCTCATCTGTATGGTGGAGCGGTGGTGTGTCACCTTGAAGAAGCTCAAAAGAAAAACGGAGCCTGGAGGAGTGCACATCAATCTCTTAAGTGAAAGCTACAGACAGACTTTCCTGCTGTTGTCGAATCTAAATATTCAGCAAAACACAATGTGCATCCTGCCAAGGAACAGTCCCTTTCTACAGTTACAATACATATTGATTTCCCCGCATCATATTACGGTATTGAAAAACCTGACAGGAATACAGTAAGTTTAGTCCATCTGTGGACATGAGTAATCATAATCAAATGGATTCAAGCTTCTTCAAATAAGTATTAAATACGTTGTTGATGCTCCGTCTCATTTCATAACAATAAACTATGGACTTTATGGAACCAACTTGAGATCTAACATCTAAGTTGACCGACACTGCAGTCCAGGCCTTTACGATGGAATCTGAAGACAGCGTGACAGGACTGTCCACAGCTGCGTTGGTGGCCATCGCCTGCAACGCATTAGTTGCCATCCTCCTACTTCTTCTCTGTCTGATCCTCTACCGAGCCTGCGGGGTCCCCTCCAGCCCAGAGAGGCTGTCGGTGCTGGCTCCGATCGAGGGAGAAACCCAGCCGGGGAACGAGCACAAGTACCTGTTGACCTCCTGACTGCAGAGCGAAGAGTCAAATGTAGCAACAAGTGATCGTCTCGGTGCACACCTCCACTGGAGAGAGGACTGAGGGAGCAACGGGACCTGTTAGTGGTTCTTATTCAAATTAGCTTCTGGTCTGAGTGGCTGTGCCTCACAAAAATGGCGAGGATGAATTATGGTGGAGTGAGGAGACACTTCTTTCAACCATCACTTATTCGATCATTTAGCATGGAGGAATGGCGATGCGTTCAACACACAGTTCGACAAAAATTGCATGGCCATAAATATGGATGCTTGATTCAAAAAGGCCAAAATAATGAAATGTTCCTTACACAAAGAGCGAATAGCATGTTGTTTTAGGTTTCTAAATATATTCTCTTATTCTCGAAAAAAAACAAGAACCCCAGTATATTGCTGAGAGCATGGACTTGAGCTTCTGTGTGTGTGTGTGTCATTGTCACTCATAAATACGTGCGGCATAGCGCCCTGCTGAGGGTGTTACATAAGGACTGGAGAGGCTTAGATGAGATTTGTTTCCTCTTCAACACGGCCCTCACACTGACATCTGCTTGTGGCTGTACGTCATGGCCCACTCACTCTGGACTGAATCACAGGACGGACACTTAAAGGGATCAATCATGTGGAATTCTACAGATGGCGAACAGAAGCTGTGCACGTTTTCCCACCACACGTATACTTAAGCATTTAACCAATACCAATACTTAAGCATTTAATCACGATCACTGGAGATGCTACTTCAGACTCAACAAGGCATGTTGTAGAGTTACAAAGATATTATGATGTGTATGTTAAACTTTACCTTCAAGGCTTTCAGCTAACTAGAGTTACACACTGATGCTGCAATTACCTTTGGAATTTGGAAAGCTGGGAATGAAGCAAACCCGAGATGACTGCGTTTCAGTAAAGTAAGTTGGAAAACAAAATTCAAGTTAGCTTAAATAGCAATACCAGATTATGACAATGAACTTACTCCAAATCTAAGACGATATCCAGTGTCGTATCACAATATTGATATATTATTGACATATTGCCAAAGCCTACTTTAAGAGGCGATCCAGGTGAAAGTTCTCACTACCATGCAACACAACAAAAGCAAACAAGTAGTAAATATGTAGCTTTATTAACTTGTACAATACATACTCAGGGTTCCTGCAGGTTTCGCCAACTCAAATTTAAGACTTTTTAAGACCTTTTTAAGACCACTTCGAATAGAATTTAAGACCTATTTCACGGCAAGAAAGTATGAAGGAAAATTGCTATGAAAGAAGAAATACGTCCCATAATTACTTACAAATCAAATGTATTCATGTTCAACATAAGAACAATGACTGAACATAACAGCATAACAGTACAGAACTGTGTTAGCCAAAAAGTGTGTATGTGTCTCTGTGTGTGCTTGTGTGTGTGTTAGGGCTGTGCAATTAATCGTATTTTAATCGCAATTACGATTTTGGCCTGCCACAATTACAAAAACATAATCGGTTGCTAGGTTGTGACAGTGCACTACAACATATTTGATCTAATTAATTTTAGTCTAATTTATTTTTATTTATCATATTTATATATGTTTAGTAGCTTGTGGAAGTGCACTCCAAAATATTTGTTGATCTTGTTTATTGGTATTTATTATTTTGATATTATTTATTTAAATATATCATTTATTTAATTTATTTTTGTATTGGTTTTTCAGTTGAATTATACGTTCAGGGTAATCAACAGTTAAAAAGATACTGTTCAAATTATTATTTGTTTTAAAGTTCAATAAATGGATGTTTTCAAAGTCAATGAATAATCTTATTTAATAATCGTGATATCAATTATTGACCTAAATAATCGTGATTATGATTTTTGCCATAATCGAGCAGCCCTAGTGTGTGTGTGTGTGTGTGTGTGTGTGTGTGTGTGTGTGTGTGTGTGTGAGAGAGAGAGAGTAACAAGAGCTATATTCAGAGCTCTGCTGCCTTGGCTACAATCTTTCATCGTTGCTGTTGTATGATTGGTGTTTAACTACGGTATTTAGCGTATACACTACAGCACCTCCGCTTTTAGGGTTGACGTCGAAGACCCAAACGTCGCCCGGAGGTCCAACGGTGTTGTTGCGGGAGCTGCTGCACTAGCTAACGCTGCACTAGCTAACGCTACATTAGCCAAACAAACGCTAATTTATTTTGCAAAAGGTGCAGCAGGCTTCAAACACGTTCCCCTCCACTGGTTTCAACCAAGCACTAAATTCGATGTTTTCCAACCAAATACGGTTGAACTTACACTTCCCCATATTTATTTGTAAGTAGATTCGAAGAGACATGAGTTTCTGACTGCCGCTTGGTTGCTAGGTTACTAGCTGGGTGTTCTCCGTTAAGGGGCCGGGGGAAACAGAGTTAGTGATTACTGGTTCCATGTTGATTTATTTCAATACAAATTGTTGGGGGGAACTGAAAGGCTCTTACCGTTACTTTGCAGCCCGGACATTTCCCCCAAAACACATTTTAGACGCGATCGCAACACAGAAGTACCTTTCAAATCCCATCATTTTTAAGACCTTCTAAATCATATTTAAGACCTTTCTTATTTTTTTGGTCATATTTAAGACCTTTTTAAGGCCTTAAATTCAGATTATCAAATTTAAGACTTTTTAAGACTTTTTAAGACCCCGCGGGAACCCTGATACTGAACGTGTTTAATACATCCTGCAGAAGAGGTCAATCAATGCATTGGAATTCTAACGTTGCCTGTTTGACATGTACTGCAGTATGAATACATGCATTATTAACTGAATATAATTAATGTATTGACAGCTTAAGAGAGATGACATGAAAACCTTTTTAATAAACTCATACAAATCGTTTTTTCTTGAAATGCTGTTTACTGTTGCACACACTGAGCAACTGAACCGTCTTTTTTATGAACGATAAAGAAAGATTGTACCATGTTGCCGTGTTAAACTGTGCTTTGCTCCGGTTCCCTCAGCAGACTGAGGAGCTTCTCCATCTTGGCTACTTCCATTTCTGAATCCTTAGGCTGATCCTGACCCTTCTTGACCTACACACACGCGCACACGCGCACACGCACACACACACACACACACACACACACACACAGTGAAAGGCAGTTAAACAGAGGAGAACACAACACAATCAGGCAGATATTGAAATGGATGTAAGGTCAATGGCAGCAGAGTGGTTATATTACTCCATTATATAATCATTTCTGTCCACCACATTGTCAAATGTTCTTTTAAGACATGGCGCTACTGCCTAAAGGGCCCATCAAAGAGATGTTACATTGTGTGGTGTGTTGTGATTATTGGTGCATTACATACTCCTGTGTGTAGAAAAGCACATTTAACGGGCCGTTATCAAAGCTCATTTACTTTCGTTACAGGTTTGGACTTAGTTTTCTTGATCTCAATCAGGAACTGTTCAAAAGAGGCAACACGCATTACAGCTTGTACCACTGAATTACTACAACTTACTGGATATACTGTACAAATGTAATGGATTTGTAGTAATGCCATGAACAAGAAGGTTGTATTTACATGACTATAGCATTTGCAGAAGTAAGTTACTTATAATGAACATGATTAGATATTATTGTTTATGTAAACACAGAAAGGAAATTCTAAGGTAAAGAAAAGTAGAGTGAGGTGCAGAAGCCGAAATCATTCCAAAACTGCATGAAAATAGGCTATAGCACTCAACAGAAAAGTGGATTACCGTTTATGTAAACAGTGAATGTATTGGACTGCCCCGCTCTCACAAAGACATCCAACAAACAGGCTTTAGAATGAGAAAGGAAGCAGTCCACAGTTTATCATGCAACTGCTGAAGGGATGCATCAAGGTGATTCATGTGTGCTACATTCAAAGTCAGTGCAAGATTTAAACCAGGCTACTTGAAAATATTTGAATACATGTTAGTTAATACAAATCTCAAAATGTGTATTTGTGTTCTGATTTATTCTCTGAATTATTGGCTGGTCTGCCTACAGAAGCACAACAATGCCAGACTTGTTTTGTTAGAGTAAAGTAATGCACACAGATGGGAAGCTCCACCTGCGTTATGAGACCCAGAATGTAGCTCATTTTATAGCACTCATGAATACAAATGTTATGATAGATGTTATATAGACAATAATACTGTGTGTACAAAAGTGGTTCGTGCTAGTGTCGGGGGGGGGGGTCAGATATGACCTGCGTTTATTATTCAGCCTAAAAACGATTGATAGGTAGACTATATAAAGAATGACATCATCAAGATATGTAGATTTGTGTTTGATTGATTAGTATTCAATTAAAAACAAGCCCTGCCTTGTAGAGTAGTGCTTTAAGCTAAATAATACAAAAGCGTAAGCCGTAAATCTTAACAAGGAATTTGCAAAGTGTACAAGCCTGTGCCTGGCTTATAACATTTTAAATTAGGCGTGCTGCTGCCGACATGAAATCAAGTGCTGTCACTTGTGCACTTGTAGCATCGATGAGAGGGGCTGTGGCCTTCAAATACACTTCAAATTGTGTTTAGGGGGAATTATAACGGAAGGGAATTAAATGTGTTGGACTTCAACACATTTTTCCTGTCAGAGTCAGGTATCTACCGGCAAATTGAAACACTGGAGTACTGGGAAATAACTGCTCAGTTCAATGGAGAGCCCTCAGAGCATTTCTGAATATATTTTGGCAATGTACATCTGTTTTCTGACACAAAGCTCAAAGAAATTCATTAAAACAACTTTTGCGGGGCACCACAGACACACGATGTCAAGCAGACTGGTCCGGTGAGTGTAAGCAAGTGAAGAAGCTGGACTGCCTCGTCAGAATGCCCTTCAAATAAGTGAGTACAACACAGTTGAATTGTTACAGTCTGGATTGCCAGGCCAAAGTTCTTGGTATATTAATGGGCCACCATGCCAATTGTGCAAGTTTTAGTGGGCTGCTGTGCCAATTGTATAAGACGTAATACTCATAATATTTGCTGTGGGTGTTTGTGCCTGATGCTTATTTGCCACACTGAGTTCCAAAATGCTGTGAGCGCTGTCAGTGGTGCTGAACTGTACAATTATTTCCCAATTGTACGCTTGAGGGCTACAGTCTGAGGTCGCTAATGAGGTAGCACTGGATGTGTGTGCATGTGTTGCTGTGCTGTACTCATACAAACGGTGTTAATGTGAGTGGTGAGAATGAGAACCGTTTATGCGTGTTGCAGCCAGGCCCGGTAATGCCATGTATAACGCACACAGAATGTGTTGTGGGAATAAATGCATATTTCTCTAGTCATTAGAATTTCGTTTACTTTACATGCACCCATGTGACCAACACAAAGAGAAGCCGGAGAGGCTGCAGAGATGACTCTAAATGGGCCCTGATTAAAGTGTTGTGACTCAGTGTGCTATTTGGTTCCCCCTGTGTTTAGTAGGACTGCTGTGATTACTCCGCAGCTCATTAACCATGGTCATGAGTGGCAACAGAGCCTTCAGTGACTCATTGATTGTGAGTGGCTCTACCTCGATTTTAGTTTGACAGTATAGCTACAACTTGCTTTGAATACAAAATGTATTTGAGCTTTCTTTTCTCAAAGATGATCTTCTCCATTATCATCGTATTAATTGGCAGTTTCACAGTATGAGTGAAAGGGAATAGGGATGACTTGTGAGAAAGATCCATGGCCTGAGCCTACCCACTGTGTAATCACTGGCAAACATGTTGATTTCCACTCTCATTTTGACAATTGATGTTCTGGCTCTCCTTCCACTGATCATTTCTAACAAGCTTATTCAATTACAAAGAACACTCAACTTCTCTTTGGCTTATTGCTAACTGGCCCAAAGGAGCGAGGGAGAGTAATGAGTTGAGGGGAGGGGGGGGGGGCTTCATTCTGTTGTTATTTGGTGAAATTAGCTCGAGGTCAGGACAGTGTCAAGAATGAATCATGTGATCTGCTTTCATTGATGTGGAACAAGTGGGCGGTGGTGGCGAAGTCCATCGGGACTTGGCTTGGCAACTAGAAGGTCACCAGTTCAAGTCCAGGCAAGACCAAGGTGTCCCTGAGCAAGGCACCGTTCCCTACACTGCTCTCTGGCCGCCGTTCATAATGGCAGCCCACTGCTCCTAACACTAGGATGGGTCAAATGCAAAGAAACCATTTTGTTACATAGTACCTGTACTATGTAATGACAATAAAAGTGAAAAAAGTGGCAGCCATCAACAATGCAAATGGGCAGATATAAATCAGTTCAGATCGTGTAATGATAAGGTGCTATATAAACCAAAATGTCACAACAAGAGTCGGGCTGGGCAATATATCGATATTATGTCGATATCTTTATATGTGACAAGATATTATTAAGTATTTCCCTGGGTTTCAAGGCTGCATTAAGGTACATTGATGTCATCTTATGAGTTCACCAGGCTGCTTTAGCGGTTCTATTATTTGTCTTTACCTGCTTAGTCATTAAGTCCAGATTAGTGATGATCTGTTGATCATTTATTCAATTCTCATTGTGTAAATACTTTGCAAGATCATTAAGAGTCGAAAGTACAATATCGTCATGATGTTGATGTATTTAGTCAAAAGTATTGTGATATATAATTGTCTTTGTATATCCTTTCCCTCGAGAGCAACACTCACAATGCAGAACACACTTATTCTGAAATTGGCATGATATTTGGTGTCAAATCTGTAACATAGACAAGCTCCATTTGTATGTGACAATAGAGCCTGAATACAAAGAAGGAGCAGAAAGCGGAAGGGTAGGGCAGTTATATACACTATTAGTTTATTCTTTGTCACTTCTAGTCAGGCTCTGTATTTCAAAAGGGATCTTACCTTGGGTTTCTTGCGGAGGTTCGGGGAGAGTTTGAGGCTGATGACGTTGCCTCGGTCATCGCCCACTATGATGATAGGATGGATGGGATTAAACTCGATGTGAGTCAGCTTGGTCTTCTTTTTGGCCGCCACTAGCTGCTGGCAAATGGCCTCATATTTGTTGATGCTGAGGTCAAAGACATGGACCTGGAAAAGATGAGTAATCAAAAGAATGAATGTGTTGTTTATAAATACAGAACTGTGCTTTGGACAAGGTTCAACACTGGCTGAACAACATTTGCTTACTATACAGTTAAATGTAAAAAAAACAGTATGCATGATGTTCAGCAAACGACAAATAAAAATCGAAGTGTGTTTTTAAACGGAGCAGAAATAGAACTAGTCTCCCACTTCAAGTATCTTGCAGTCATATTGGACTCAAACTTGACTTTTAAGAAACATATCAAGAAAGTATCCATTAAATTCAACTTGCAAAATGTTAAACAAATTAGACCTTTCTTAACTGTCAATGCTGCAAAGTCATACCTCCACTGTTTGATTCTATCCCACATTGAATACTGTTTGACAAACTGGTCGTTTGCTTGTGCCACAAACCTGAAACCAGTAGAACAGCTGTACAAGAGAGCTATCAAGGTTTTTGACAGAAAGCCATATTCATACCACCACTGTACCATCCTTGAAAAACACAATTTCTTGAGTTTTGACCATTTTAAGTCTTTTAAAAGTATTTTTTTTTTAAATAAATGTTTATATGCTGCTCATGCTCTTTCTGCATATCATGTATTTATTTTTGCTATGTATATAAATGTCATTTTCTTAAATGTTGTATGTCAGGGACTACGGATGGAAATTAGCTAAAAGCTCAAATCCGGCATATTTAGATTTGAAGCATTAATAGTTAAAAATGTTCATCAATGTGCATTGTCCCTCTTCAAATAAACGATTAAATTAAATGGAAATTAAACTATGAAATTACATTTTAGGATATTGGCTAACCAGCAGCACTGCATGGAGGTTTAGATCAAATCTGGTAAAAGCTGACACATCTTACTGACCACTATATTTAAGCTGGAGAATGAACTTCTGAAGATGTTGCCAAGAAAGTGAAGGCTAAATCTGTTGACACAGACTGCCTTTTCATATTTTGTGTTTGTGTTGTCTTTGATGTAAGAAGGAGACTGCTGGAGCCTCTGCAGGGATGCAGCCTGACCATCTGGTGCAAGGAAGGGTGTTCCCTGTACTTCAATGAGTGTTCAATTCTGTCCCTTCGTGCGCATATATGTGTTTGTCTGTGCTGGCAGCCCAAACACTAAATCCTCCTCATCATCCTCACATCATTATCCAGAAAGATCCACATCACATGTATTCTTCTCTCACCTTTCATATGGACAATTTTCCGGCAACAACACAGCACATCCCACTCCTTTCACCAGAACGATGAGTGTGCTCCGGCTGCGAGGGTTCACACTGAATATGTCCCAGCACCACACAAACCTTCGCTGTCATCACTCGCTACCAATCATCATTTTCTACCAGAGCATGACTTCCTGTAACCTCCACCACTTCAGCCATTATCTGCAGTGTTTTTGCTTTTTATATATTAGCACTAATGTAGCATTGGTACACCACAACTACATTTGAAATTCACACAATAACTTAGGATGCATTTTACTGCTGAAATGACTATAATTTAAACACACATTTAATGATATTGTTATTGTGATATTCAAAAACATAATTGTATATTTTCCGTGCATTGTGCAGACCTAATGATTTATCAAATTGATATTGCATTACATATTGTAATTTCATTTATTTTAACGTATTATATTTGATGAATTATTTAGGCAGATTTTATGACTTTAGGTTGATGTTTTTAAAGTTTCACATCCACAAAATCTAGTATGAACCGATGCAGGTATATTAGAGGAAGAAGAAGAAGAAGAAGAAGAATAGGGAGGGATGAAACCCTCTTTAATGGTCACACATGCAGAGCACACAGCACACACAGTGAAATTTGGCCTCTGCTTTTAACCCATCCTAGTACCAGGAGTCTAGTACTAGGAGCAGTGGGCAGCTATTGTACAGCGCCCGGGGAGCAATGGGAGTGGGGGGGAAGGGGGGTGTCCGGTGCCTTGCTCAAGGGCACCACGGCAGGGCAGGAGGTGAACTGGGACCTCTCCAAGTAGAAGTCCACACTCCATATTTAGGTCTGGTCGGGGACTTGAACCAGCGACCCTACGGCTCCCAGTCCAAGCCCCTACTGACTGAGCCACTGCCGGATATTAACTGAATGATGAGCCAGTCCATGTTCAGGGGGTGCACAAAGAGAAAATATGGATTTCAGACTCATCACTGGAGGATAGGCCTGGGTCTTGCATTATTTCAACCTGACACTTGACAGTCAGCTCAGATGGAGAGGCAAGAACAGAGAGAACCAAGAGACATTTGATTTGTTTGCACTGCACAACTCAGTGTCATTCTTACACCTCAGCTTGCCAGGCACGTCATTATTCTTATGAACGCACACGCGCACACGCACACGCGCGCACGCACGCACGCACGCACACGTACGTCATTGTGCTTCTGGCACTTTGTAATGTGGCAGAAGCAGGTCAGGTTTTCATCAACCGAAAATACACGTCAATGGGCGCACAGCTCATGAGTCACGCAGGCTCTAACAGACACGTGTCAGCAAACGACAAATGAACTGCAATCATTGGGAATAATTAGCTGATTACCATGAAGCACTGCTACCACACTGGTGAACGTGAGAATACTGAGAATATTCTTTAATTGTTCAATACAATGCAATTGTTTTTATAAGATGTGATCCCCACCACATGATGAGTATCGCTTCGCCTTGGACTGAATGTTAAACAGTTATTTAGTGAATACAGATCAGATCTCAAAATGTGACATTACAGTAAACACTAGTATAGCTAATGTCAACAGAAGTCTATTTTGCCCAAGCAAATCCTTGGCTGAAATGATAGTTCAGTGTTGAGTTTAGCACACTGATAAAAAATAGACCAGTCACGACGACCTTGATCGACTCCAATTAAATATCCTTGTCCTTCCTGCTGCTTAGATAGAGTGGATATTGTGCTTGTAAAAATGTATGCCAACTGATGGGCTTTTAATGAGTTTTTTTAATAGCTGCTGAAAATTGCCTTTGATCCAGTTTCAGAGAATAACTCGCAACACAGGCCTGAGATTAAATATGCTTTCAAGCAAAGTCATTTAATTTGATTTTCTTCTGTAGAGGATGTTTACAATCAAACAAACCACTGGTTATATTCTGGATGCATTGCCAGTTATGTAAACTTGTTGAGTGTAAAGGGACATTTTATTTGTGGTTATGAATTTGTCTTCAACTCTGACATTTCCTCTATTGGTTGTGAAATCATTTCCATAACAATGGGTACACTGCAGTATGAATTCTGCCTACGAGATTGAATTCAGGCATTTGGGAGTACGGAACACACACGCTATCACATAAGGTGTTTCTCAAATTTCCCAGCTCTCATTTCATTTTTGTCACTCTCACTCCACGTCTCTTGGCACACTGGACAGGATATGTGTCAGACACAACACTCTGGACTTTTATAGCCCGGTGCAGACTGGTGTGAAGACAAACAGAGGGGGACAGCTTGCAGCCATAGTAAGAAATGATGTGTAAATAAGCAACCCGGCATCCACTGCAATTACTCTTGGCTGGAATCAATAACCTCTTGGAGGGCAGGAAGCAGCTATTGTCACAAGAAACTAGACACAATTTCCTGAGGCTTAGCCTTCTGAATAAGGAAGGGTTTAGTCAGCTGGGGCTTTAACTATATTACAGGAATCATAATGAAGTGGGGGGCAGGTGGTGCAGCTGTGATTTCACGTGTTCCGTCAGGTGAGTGTCAAGCTCATGTTATCTTAGGTACACAGCAGATGTGCGTGGTGATAATCATAGTCTTCAGACAGAGCATCCTATAGGCCCTCTCATAGGTCTGAGACTGTTTGTACTGTCACCCTATATCACCTGGAGCCATGAAATATCTCAGATGTTGTTATATTTTTGATTCATTGTATTGATAAAGTTTATGCGTAATGTGTCTTTACTTCTTAACCTAGTCAAAGGAAAGAAACATTCAAGGTGCACTCTACCAAATCAGTTTTTTTATAAATGAAAAACACTTGGATTCCAAATCAGTAATGTGAGATTCTTGTACTTTATAATAACAAATCCAAGCACAAATCATGCTGATTTGGGGTATTCCAAAAACCCAAACAGGCAAAAACGTCTAAATGTTTAAGTTGCAGTGGTGGGCTGCATGATGTGAGTTTAAACAGACACTTACCGTTGCGTCTGTTGTGACAGCGGCGAATACAGTGGAGGAGTATGGAGCCCAGGCAACATCACCAACTGCTGCTTTCAGATCAAAGGTGAACATGGGAGTGCTGAAAAACACAGAGATCGGCGGTCAGACAGGAAGTCTGTTACTTCTCATTATATTGCATTAAAAGCGAGGCAAAAAATGTGTATTTGAATAGGTATCAACTTTGGAAACACAGAAGGTCAGACTAGAGTGTGTACATTAACGCTAATGGCACTAGTTGTCTGTAGGTAATAGTGTTTGATATACGGGTGAATGCAGATAAAGCAGAGCTCAAGAGGCTCTATTCAGTCTACTGTGAGCAAGTCAACATGTAGCAATGTTGAAATATGTTATAAGGAGATCAAAATGGTGCTTTAACATTGTGTATGAATGAGATGAAATGTTGGGGGTCAAAGACATTCTTCTTCTTTCTCTTTGTCTCTTAACTTTCACTCATTCGTCTGGTCTCCAATGGTCGTGGCAATGCAGTGCAACCGGTGTCCCGAATGTGTATTTATCGTGTGTTTTCTTAGTGCCACACAGTCGTCAAAGAACGTTTTTGAAAGATTTACGATACAGTAATTTCCAGCGCATCGCACTTCAGCTTCAACCAGCGTCCTCTCAATGCCTCCTAAGCAAATGGATGTGCGAGGACTCAGTTATAGCAGCTTTCAGCTTCAATATTTCATTTATTGTTTCCTTGTAGCTCCATTACGCATTTATTTGAGGAGCATTGAAAACTGCTGTCCTTGAGGTTTATACAGAATATTTTTTTTACATAACACATTATACTCTCAAATATTCACACAGGTTGAACGTATTTGGAAAACTGAACCTACAATCAGCAACACTTAACACTCTTTCCATTATTTGCCCACAGGCGGCCTCCATTATTGATTTTGCAAGTGCAAGATGAGCCTCAGATGACAGAGAAACTGTGCTCCATGCAAATATGTCTGTTTGATAAACAACATGCACTCTGGTAGGTGTAAAATATGTCTGAGATCAGGTGCAATGAGGTGATTCATCTCACTCAAGTGAGGGTTTTACAGCAGAATGACACTGCACATACTGGAAATCCAATTCATAAGTTATGTCCAAGTTTGACTCCAGGCCGAAGTGAAATTATCAAGCTGCCCTTTTGTGTCATTAAGAGACTCAATGCTTCTATTACTACTTCAGGTTTTTAAGGACTGGCTGATGCCATGTGACAGTTTTCCAGTATAAGTTGTTAGCCTCATCGGTAGCCGTTTCAGACTACAGTTTTGACGATATTTCTGAACTGCGTGGCAAAGTCTGTGGAAAGTTGTTGATCCAGTCAGACTCTTTCCTGGAAACAACATGTCCTCTATCTATGGGCAGTAATGGATCATTCTTGAAAACCCTGTCTCTCATAAGGGGAGGATGATTACTATCATTACTCAGTCAAGCTGCCTTTGCTGACAAGAAGTGGGAGGCACTGTGGGTTAGTTAAATGAGGAAAGATAATTAAGCTGGGTCCATGAGAATAAGAAGGTAATAAAGAATAACAAAGTGTAATATTGTAGAATGATTACAGGAATGTTAATGATCTCAGCCTGGATCGTGCATAGACATTTTGAACCCAGAACATAAGTAATGTAATGTCGGAAAACTACTCGAATGGAAATGCCGTTTCATGATGAAAACATAAATAATATTGTTAAGCTTCTACTGAAAGCTAGATCACACAAAGACAAAATGGAATTGAGTTTATGAGTTGTCTTACTTGATGGTATGGTCCCAGATTTTGACGGTCCAGTCTGAACTGCAGGAGATGAAAACCTTGGGGTGGAAGTGGTTCCACTTCACTGCATCCACTGTCATGCTGTGGGCATTATAGGTCTCCAGGAACTGGCTTGAGTAAGTCTTGGAGCACTAGGGAATACAGGAAAAGTCTGGATTTGGACCAAAGTTGATGTTATAAACACATTTTTCTTTCTTAATATTTTACTGTTTACATTACATTTGAATTTGGCTGATGCTTTTATCCAAAGCGACTTACAATAAGTGCCATAACCATAGAGATTCAAACTTGGAATTGGAACGTTGTGCTTATTTGTTGTAAATCAAAGCATTATACAGGTATTCAGCAACTGGTTGTATATTTAATAAGCTCTTGTACTTTCCTGCAAAACTAGAATGTGATAACTCACACGCCAAGTGTTTTTCTGGTAACACTGTTCCTGCTCAGCTTAATGAAATATTGACTGTATCCAAAATGTTTTGGTGTTTATATTATAATATATTTTATAAAAATCGGAGAAAAATTGGGGTCGACATCACGCTGACTTAACAGGGGTCCCTGCAGTGCCACAGAAAACATTATACAACTATTTTAACAAGCAATGATAAGGACATGAGTTTAACATTTGTGAATTAAGGAAACACTTCAATCATCTTTTTTCTTAAGAATGTTTTATGTATCTGGACACATGACATTTTCCCACTGACAGCTCATGGAAAAAGTATTTTGGTTAAATTGTTTATTGTTGTTCAATGTTAAATAACCCTGTACATGTTCACAGTTTCTTTCCTGTTGACATATATATGAATGGGACAAGTAACCAGATGGACAGCTTGTGGGGACAGCTGGGGCCCTTTAAGCACTGACAGTTTGATTGTTGACCAGCAGGGAGGTGAAATATTCTTTATCTGTCCTCTCCTGGGGTTTCTGTGCGAGTAAACCTTGAGGTGACAGACAGAACATATTTCATAACACATATTGGGTGTTTGTCTGCAAGGAGGGTTAGGTAAGTTGAGTGATTTGACGGGAGTGCAGCAAAGAAGGCGTTTGTCACTATACACGATGTTAGCACGGATTAAACCAATGAATTGATTTCTTAAACAAGGTCGGGCTAATCATTTATGATTACTTTATTCAAGATTGTGTGATGGTTTGTCAACTGAAACGATTCATCCTATCTGTGATGCAATAACAAGATGTACGGTGGAGAGGTTCCAGTATATTTTAGTGACTTTTAAAGAGGATATTTGAGAATATTTTTGGTGTTTATCAGGTTATTATCACAATGATTTTAGCCAGGACAATTATGACATGTATTTTCACATCATCCCATGTTGAGTAGCTAAGATACAACCATCATAGGAAGTAAACAAATCAGTCTCCTTCATCACTTGTGAGCTCTACTTAATCAATTTCTGCAAGGCACCAAGCCAACAACATGCAATCAAACTGCTGTTAAGTGTCTGATAAAAACAATGAGTAAGATAATCAGTTCTCATTGCATTTCAGAGTTTCTAAGCCAGACAATTTAAGGATAATTATTGTCTGAAATTAGAAAAAGGTGGTTTTACTGACAACACAAGACTATTGTCTACTAGATATTTGTAATGGTGCAACACATTGGTGCTTTTATATGAAGTACAATGTCATCCATTGCAATGATAGCTCTTTATATTATGTGATATTGCAGGTCTTTCATTTCGAACAGCGACCCTAAATCTTCTTATTTCTCAACCAAACATTTTCCCTTATAATGATGTGTGATGGACTTAAAAGCCTCGGACCGTTTTAAAACCATCAGCCACCTTCAATAATGTGTGTATTAGTCAGTGGGCAGTTTTAACAATTTTGTGTTATTAAGTCAACAAAATGAGGGCACGGTAACCGCAAACCAATGAGGCTTTTACGAGAGTCTTTCTGTATACGGTAACAAAAACATGAGAAAAAAAAGCAGAGAGGAGGTGGGAGACCAGCCAAAAACGACCAGCTGTCTGATGTGGACAGAGGAGGACTCATTAAACACTTAATGCCAAGCCTCAGGGGCTCCCAACGCCACGCATACAGTAAGTTCACGTTCACATACACACTACTGCACACATACACCAACTGTTAATGGAAACTTTCTCTGGAGTGCTAGCCCAGCAAGATAAGTGCAACACAAACAAAATTAGCTCCGTTTTTCAGAGCAGATACTGGGAGACTGTGAAAGGGCCCAAGATGATCCTTATGTCATTTAGGGAGGGTAAAGAAAGAAAACACATCCAAGGGAAGAGGCTTCGTTGTACAAACTCAGCAGAATTCCTGTGATGAATTTTTTTAACTTGTCCTAAGCACCTAACTTTTAACAAGTTTTTTTGGATATGGAGTACCTTGTGGTCACTACAGTGTGACTATAAGATTTTACTGTTTTTTTTAAATCATGGATTCTAATGTCATTGTGCTAAATAAGATGGCAAAGTGTTATAAGATGTTGCCTTTAAGTTATTTTCTTGTGCATGACTTAGAAGATATGCCTCATACCAGTAGAGTTTTTAGATAGCTGCTATTTATAAATATTTAGATAGCAGAGAGCAGATCTTTGCTTGGGGAGAGAAGAATTTGAAAGATTATTAGGGTACATTAGAAGGTACATTATACATACTTAAAGTACATTAGGTCAGGGATAGTGAATGGTGTCTCCTGTCGGCAGTTTCCAATAACCTTACTAGTCAACTTCTCACCCTTGAAGACCCTCAGGATACGATATTGCTGGTGGGATTAGAGCTGGTAAGATGGAGGCAGTGGATGAAATAGTGGTCGTGGACATGAGGTGATGCCCTTGTGAGTCTATGGGAAACTTCTGATAGCCTGTATGACCGAGGTGAGATCAGCACGCGAGTCCCCATGTCCACCAATACTTGCTGAGGTGGTCCACAAGAGCCTCAAAGACAGTAGGAGAGGCGTCACAATACCTTAAACTGGGCCTAACAATAAGTCAACTTACTTTTTACCATGAAGTACTTTTGGCATTTTTGACTGTGTATTACAAATTCCAGACTTGTTTGTCCTCTTTGTCTAGCTCCTTTGTCTAGCTCCTTTGTCAGCGGTCATTCAAATGCACTGTGGGTAGCTCCACTGTTGTGATGCATATTAATACAATTGCATCAAGTGTTGCGGCTTATTGTTTATTTGGTTCTGCTTTAAAGCTTTTGAAGCTTTTGAAGCTTTTTTCTTTTTTAAATCGGATTGTCATCCAGGAGAAACTAAATCAGTATTACTGTATAATCAACAGTTTCAGGTGGATTTCATCTTTAATACCCTGTTCAAGTAGTGCACTTTACCATGCTACATGGATTAGGAGCACATAGAATTCACACAACTGTCATAGAACAGGATTATTTAAAGCAAGTTTCAAGTCTCTGCTGAAATGATCTGATATCCATAGCAACCTGTGTGTTTAAAAATCTATCTAGAAATCAATATAATAATGAAAATTATAAAAAGTAAACATGAGCCTTTTAAAGTATGTAATAAAGTAAATATTGCAGTACCCTATGTTGTTGTACAAACGATGTTGCCCTTTTACAGGCTAATGTTTTTGTTACACACATGCAGGGCCGTCCCTCCCTACAGGCCGATCATGCAGACTGCGTGGGGCCTCACCTCGCGGAGGGGGCCTCATCTTGCGGAGGGAGCCTCATCTTGCGGAGGGGGCCTCATCTTGCGGAGGGAGCCTCATCTTGCGGAGGGAGCCTCAACTGAGCCGAAAATTAGTGTGGCGCGGCACGGTTTCGCCGCTGCGAGGCTCCACTAGCTCCCCCCCTCCCCCCCATCGACGCTCGCGAAACAGAGGGCCTCATCATATAACTTTGCGTGGGGCGTCATGTTGGCCAGGGACGGCCCTGCACACATGTATATGTGTATGTTGTCATGCCTACAGGTTATGACGGGCATGTCATTTATAGTGTAATATAAGATGTTTCTATATTGTCAGTACTGTGGTCAATGTGAAGCGTCTTGTTATTATATCAGGAGTCATGTTGTGATTCTCTCTCCCCCCCTGGATATTTGACTGTCTAAATGAGTCACATCAACAACCGCCTAATCTTATTTTGGAAGTGGCTCATGTCATCCAGCAAAAAACAGCTAACTGGAATCGTAGATACATACCTTGTGTATTTTTCCCTCCTCGGTGCCAACAAGGAAGAGATAGTCGATCTGCTTATGGAAGTCAAACGAGGTACCACAGGCTGTGGACAAGAGCATTCAGCACTTCAATTAGACACACACTGTCACAGACACCAGCATGAACAAGACAGAGTCAAATCTGATCTAATATCAGGTATTATTTAACGTGTAGTACTTTTAGTAGTCAAATACATTGTATTATAAATGTGATGTTCTTAGATACATGCACAAGATGACATGCTGAGTAACGGAGACCTTACCGATGGCAGGCAGCTGATTCGGGCCCTCGGAGACAGCACCATTCAGTGACAGCCTGATAATATCTGTAAAGACCAGCTCATTCTGCAAGAATACAAACATACTGTGATGAAGTAATATGTATGGATTCATATATTGGATGCAAAATAATATTACAATTATGCACACACGCAAATACAAAAAATAATAAATTGCAAATGTGAACAAACACACAGGAAGACATATAAAGAGTGCATCTCAAAAGTTTCATTATATTGGCATTTTGGTGAGACAACATAGAATAAGATAAATGGACCTTTAAAGGTCCCATGTCATGGCCATTTCTACTGATCATAATTCCATTGTTGAGGTCAATCAATAGATTTACATTGTTCAATGTTCCAAACTCACATTGGTTTTCTCATACAGCATCTCTGTATAGTATGTGTATTCACTCTCTGTCCTACACGGCTTGTTGGAGCTCCTGACCCCCCCCTCCCTATGAGCCCACTGTGCTCTGATTGGTCAGCTCGCCCACTCTGTTCTGATTAGTCAACCACCGTTACAGCGGAACATCAGTGATTATGTGTTACAATGGCGTTAGCAACCAGAAAATGAAACCAGTAATGACAAACAGATGAGAATGCTACGTGGGGTCTGGGTGCCGTGTTGGCGGCACGTTGCGGGGCTCGCTGGTCCGCCCTGTGGGGCTCGAGGAGCGGACAGTGTGAGGTGGAATACTGGTGTCGTTTCCTGGTTGCTGCGTGGGGGTCTGCGTTCCATGCCAGCGGACACGAGCTCCGCGGTGTCTCGCCGGCACGGCAGTTGGTCTATATCCAACATCCAGGGAAACACAGCGGGAAATCCACCTCACACTGTCCGCTCCGGGACTCCTGAGCTGCTCCGGAGTCCACCCTGGCAGAGGGTGTGCCTATTGTTCTATAGCTGTGTGCCAATTGGTCCATTTGGACTTAGTGACGTCAATAGGCCCCGGAAGAAAAAAATAGAAAAAGAGAAATCTCCAACGAGGCGTTCTGGGGCAGCATAGACAGGTCTTTTCTGTGTTTTACTCGCTACAGGGGGTACTTTGAGGGTTTGTGACTTTGCAGACCGTTTACATGCAGAAAAAGCTACATGACACACAAGGGGACGGGTAATAACCGGAAAAGCATGACATGGGACCTTTAATACTATCATATAATGGAAAATGTTATAGTGAGAATATATATGAATAAATACAAGGTTGTGGCTAACCTTGACTAGAGTCCAGGACACAACTCGTCCATCAGATGACACTGAACAGAAATTGTGGTTATTGTCCATGTCATCGCTCTGCCAGCGCACCTGAATGAAAAAACGAATAAATACATCACTGAAAACAAAAACAATTGTTGGTTTTAGTGTAAGTGAAAGAGGTTCATGTGGATAAGAAAATGATATTTAAGTAAGAATTTACATTTTACATTCACATTTATGAGACATTCGATTTATTTGCCATCATATGAAATTCTCTGTTAGTGTTATGACTCCACATCGCAGCACGTTAGTGATATTTCATTCAAATTCCTCTACAAACTAACTGGTCAGGAATAGGTTTTAAAAAGTCCACGTAGATGCACAAATGGAGACCAAGTAATAGAGCAAGGGTGGAGTTCCTGGTAATAAATATATACAAACTGAATTCCTATCGCCTCTCCCTTGTCCCCTCCTCTCACCTCCCATACGGGGTCTGTGTGCTTGCCAGTCTTAGCTGTACTCTTATACATAGGCTCCGATCCATCCTTCTTCTTGTTGTTGTAGACAGCCACACAGCCGTCATAGAGGCCAACGGCCACCAGGTAGGAATGCTGCTCATGGATGTCGAGGCACAGGACGCCAGAAGGGGTGGGATAGATGTACGCTGGGTAGGAAGAGTTCTTCAAGGAGTAGTAGACTAGCATGCCACGCCCCTGCTTACTGAAGTCGTCTGATCGGCAGAGGAAAAGAGGAGAAGGGACCGGAGGAAAGACCAGGTCAAACACCAAATATGCATGATAAAATGGAGGCAATTCAATTCAGGTCAAATGAAAATAGTCTCAGAAATGTTAACATTACTGCTCACTCATCAATTCTTATTTTTATCATGCGTACTTACACGATCCCATTCCCACAGCAAAAAGGTCCTGATATTTCTTATTCCTGTTGAAGAAAGGATCATCCATCAGTCATCTAACACTAGATAGTGGGGCAGTTGCAGCTACTTATTCCACCCCAAAAAATTATAAACATCATTCTCATGAACATTAGCAGCAGAGGCGATGAGCAAACCTACCAGCAGAGGGCAGTGACAGACAGTCCCTTAGCTTTGTCATATTGAAACTTCCACAGAGGGAGAAGGGTGCCCTTCTGGCCCCTGAACTCATCAGAAGGGTCCTCAAAGTATTTGAAATCTGAAAGGGCATGAAAGGAGGGCAGGAAGAAAAGAAAAGGAGATAACAGAATCTGCAGCAAGCTGAATATCAAGTGGGATGCTGGTGTATTATTCTGTCGCTTGTAATGTTTATTAGAACATACCTTGAATTATGTCATCAAAAGTGTTCTGATTGACAATTCGTTCCATGATCTTGGCCGCCTTTCCCACTTTGGTGATGTCATCAGTCTATAACAGAAACACAGCAAATAAATACTTTACCTTAATAAATAATCATAGACTTATATGAAATGATGAATATGATGGTTCAGCTTTACCTTGAGCCCTGGTTAGTCATAGCTTTGAGGTTTAGACTCTATGATTTCTTAAACATTAACGATGTATTTTAAGGCAATTTATGTATGATTTGCATGGCAACAACATTAACCCTTGTGCTTCAGTTGAAAAGAGTTGTTTTGATGTCCTTTGAATATTATTTTACACTATATTTTATACTGAATTAAAACCTTTAAACAACTTCAACCCAGCATGGTCTCAATACCAGATATTCAATAATGTTCAGACTGCTAACTCTTTACAAGCACATTTGATTATATTAAGTTACTTTTTTGAAGGAAAACAAACAAACAAAATGAAATAATTTCTATATGAAATGTAAGCAGGATTCTTTTTTGGCAAATTCCTGTACATGTCAAAGATTACAAACAACATTGATATCGATTCTTGATGATTTCTTTTGTTCACGAAACCCAGAACATAGCATGTTTTTGCATATGGCTCAATCTGGCAAATAGTAACGGTTTATTCAGATGTACCTAAGCTAAGATGCAAATATAAGACACAGGTTTAGCTTAGGCAGGATGTTTGGTAAGCACAATGTACCTGAGTCTCCATCAGCAGCGTCTTCTTTGTGCCTTTGTCATTATCTTTCTTTGATGCTACAGCCTTCTGCTTCTCTTTATTTGTTTCTTGTTTCTGCAGCTCCTCCACATACGCATCATAGATGCCCCACTGCAAGAGAATAGAGTTATTGCAGTCATCCCATGTGAGCAGATATACAGTATTCACAGATGCTCAAGAGTATGAGAACTGGGCTCAACAGCTGTATTACTAAAAAGTGAAGAGATCCAGTACCTGAGTAGCTGTGGCGGAGAAGGTGCCGCGTGGAGGAGGATCAGTCTGGCAGCTTCTTTCCTACAGGAACATTTAAATGACTCCACTGAAACTCTTGAGGCAGTCGGTTATGAATATTGTGTGGTGCACACATCAATATTAGTTTTTGGATACATTCCAATATTGTAAATGAGCTTTTTTTTTAATGTAAGACATCTTAACTATTATACTTAATATGTGTTTTGAGATAAGGCATTAGATGCTCCTCTCTACTCCTTCCTACCCGCAGTGGGTTGTTGAGGGTCTGGGAGGCCCTCTCACTGAAGTTGAACTGGTTAGTAACTTTTGGCTCCTTCCTGTCGGTTTTAGAGGCGACACTGTCTGGTCTGTCCTCTTCTCCTGCTTCCTCCACTTCCCCTCCATCCTCTACGGGTGTATCCTGTGGAAATAAACAGGAGAAAGTGTTGAAGCTCAAGTTATACCCTTCACTTAATGGCCTTGCATCGAAATGTAGATAAAAAGACCATGTCATACATTGTTTAAAAATGAATATACTGTCCAACAAAAACCACTACTAAGATTTGATCTCAACACATTTTGTTACCGATGTTTCTGGTTCCTCCTCATCAGGTTCCACTCCAGTATCGACTGCCGCAGTTTCTGGACACATTGAAAATATGAAATCATAACTTCACTGTGTGGAAATTGAACACATCACTTGTTCTGTGTTAACCCTAAGCACGTGGACTCTAACCCCCTAACTCACTTTTCTGCCCATCCCCCATGCTACTGCACTGAAACTGTACTTTGAACACTTAAATTATATTATTAACACTTTAATCTGTATACCCCGGTTATCTAGGCCCTTTGTTTTGTTTAATGTATACCATGTTTATCTAGGCCCTTTTTGTTTTTTGTTTATGTATATAAGTCACACTGTAGGACTGCGGGAAACGATATTTCGATATTTCTGGATGTACAACATGTAGAATTATTGACAATAAAGCTGACTTTGACTTTTTTGTCTTCATTTCTCCGGCACATGTTGAAAGTGACACCTTGTGGCACCTATAATGCACTACAACAGAGAGGAAAACAACTTAACGAGCTATACAATCACTCTGAAGCAATGTGGGCAGGTGTTGTGGAAGATAATCATTTACAAGCCTTGAATATCTAAAAAAAAAAGTGTTACTGTGATCTGTAAACATAGAAGAGTATTGCAGCATGCTTCAGTAACTACCCTCAGGGAGACCCTCGTTGGCCCTCTGTCTACGAGCCTCATCAGAGTCTTCATGCAAAAGGCTGCCCTCCAAAACAAAGTGAACAGCCATCTGATCCACAGCAATGGTAGGCTTGTAGGAACGTTCCTGGGAGAAACAATATGCAATCATGTTACGAATATTAAGCAGAGACACCTGTTTTATTTTGGTTGGAAAAGAAGAAAATAAACCACTTAAACATTAAAACACCTTTGAAACAAAACAACCCAGGGACATTGGTTTGGACAGCCATCTTTTAAATGTGAATAGCTCAGAGGGGAGCAATAATGTCTGCATTTCTCAGAAATGAATATGAGGTGGCTTCAGAATTGCAGTGTTGCATCTATAGTGAGTGATGTAAAGTAATAAGCCTGTATCAGAGTTCCCGTTAGCCGGTAATTACCGGACAATGACCGGTAAAATATGCCGAAGTCCGGCAAATCTAAATCTCTCCGGTCAACATGTCCGGTAAAAATATGTTGCCCTTAGCGCAATATAAAGTGTATTCAAATAAACAATAAATAGATTTTTGTTTTTGTTTGTTTAAATTAAATTAAATTATCTTTTGTGTTAATAGGCAAGCGCATTGTAGGCCACGGCGTAATGTGGAACGAACCCGTTACATTTGTTTCATTCAGTAAGATAAAGTGGGCGCACAATAACAACAGGACGACAGAGAGATGAGAAAAATCGGACATGGCAAAACAAGCTAAGCTTAAAAATTATTTCTTTAAACCAAGCAGGTCTAATGATGATAATACCGACAATGAGATGGCGATACCGCCTGCTGTCAATGAGACCGTAGATGCCTTGGCCCCGGACAGAAAAAAACAAAGATCCCGCGCGTTCAGACCCGTATGGAAAGATACATTCACCTGGCTGAGGTGCGACATTATAGATGGGGAAGAAATTCTGTTCTGCTCACACTGCGAGAAGTCGGGGAGAAAGAACGGGTTCACCAAAGGAGCAACAAATATGAGAACCTCTGCGCTTATTGAACACAGTCAGAGCAATGAGCACATTTTGTCAGTGAACACAATACCACAACAAACCGCAATGAAAGGCCACTGCGAGAGGGCGAATGAAGCTTCCAACATGAAGCTATGTTCTCAGCTAAAAGTCGTGTTTCACATGGCTAAAAACGACATTGCAGGTAATCAGTATGCAGGGTTGACTGAGCTACTACGAGAAGTGAAGGCTCCTGATTTTGTCACAGGTGATGGAATTTACCGGCACGGTGATTCCGTTGATGACATGGAAAAGGCCATAGATGAAGTCCTGATTAAGCAGCTGGACGAAAAACTAAAGAAGAGTGACTTTATCGGAATAATCATTGACGAGACGGTTAATATCACTGTGGACAAAAAGCTGATAATATACGCCAAGTTGCAAATTAAAGGAAAAGTGGAGACGTGTTTTTTGGGAAACTATGACGTGCACTCCGGGACAGCACAGTGTATATTGACAAGGTGGATGAGGTGCTCCGCGAGAGGGATGTGAAACTGTCAAGCGTCATTGGCCTGGGCTCAGACGGGGCTAGTGTAATGATGGGCAAACGTGCTGGAGTTGGTGCTCTTCTGAAGAGAGAGAGTGCGTTTTGCATTCAGGTGCACTGTGTTGCCCACCGAGTTGCGCTGGCCGAGATAGATGCTGCAAAAGCTGTGGACCAAGTAGGAGTTTACAAGCGCACAGTATCCTCTGTGTACTCATTTTACAAGCACTCAGCCAGCAGGACCAATCGCCTCCGTCAAATGACAGCAGCGCTCGGGGATGAAGATGTGAAAAGCCTAAAGCAGCAGTGCGCTGTCCGCTGGTTATCCTTGCACAGGGCAGTGGAGGGTATCAAGCTAAACTGGCCTGCTCTGGTGATGGAGCTACATGAAGAGGCTGTTGGAGGAAATGCCCAAGCAAAAGGCATCCTTGGTCAAATCCAGCCATACTGCTTTATCGCCTGGACTCACGCACTGGCTGATGTGCTACCTGTTATGACCAAACTTAATTTGGTTTTCCAGAAAGAGGATGTCAATCTGGCCACAATCCCGACCAATGGTTCACGCATCAGTTGCGGCACTCACACAGTTGAGGGATTCCCCCCGGTCCCGAAGAAGAGAGGTTTCAGGCAGATTGCCAAAATGGCATGTACAGGGATGTGAATGTGACACACGCAGATGACCGGTCCCGGCAGGCTTTCAGTAATGTCCGCGTACGCTACATTACACATCTTATAGATGCTTTACACAACCGCTTTCCTGAAGAGTCCCTGAGTATTATCACTAGCTTTGACGTCCTCTGAACCCATCCCGATACCCAAATGCACAAAGTGGTAAGTATAGGCCTTCCTAAAATTGTGTCACAAGTTATTTAAATGTGTTTATTTGCGTTACATAAAACAATTCATTATTTCTCCGTCCCTTCAGCGCTTCAAATATACGCTGAACCAGCCCCTCAAAACCATTATTGGTCATTTTGGCCAAGGGATTGCCAGTGAGGATGACTCGGCGCAAGCCAGTGCCCCTCTCATTGATGCCACAAGCGCCCACAGAGATGCCATCCCCGTGATGACAGCGCTCCGCGGATACGGAGGCTTGCATTTCTAACGGCTTGCGAAGTCCTCGTAAGAGATTTAGGCAACATCTATCCTGAGTGGGCCACACTGGCCAAGATAGCATGCGTGATCCTGTCTCCAGTGTGCCGGCAGAGAGAGGATTCTCTCTACAGAACAGAATCAAAACAGCGCACGCGAAGTCGGCTTGGCGAGAACAAGGGTCACACACGGCTCATGCGCATTGCCAGTTGTGAGAGACACTCGGGACCTTTGATTTTGAATCCGCAGCTACCCACTTCACAGGTCTGAAAAAGCGTAGAAAGTAGGCTAAACATCATAAGCTAGGCATTTTGCTCTAGTTTTGTCAAAGAGTTTGTGTTACAATTTGTTTAAAGGCTATTTGATAACAAGTCGGCAGCTGCGAGCCTTTATTAAAATGCTCACGACGGGCCATACTCTTTTAGTTTGTGAACAAATAATAATTATTGTTTTATTTTATCCGACTATATGTAGGTCTACAGCTGAATAACATGGGTTTTTTGTTTATTATATTATGGCTTGCGTAATATAGGCTAGGCAAGGCTTTTCTTGCTTGCTGCTTTGGTTGACTTAGCACCAGGTAAAACTACCTTCTGAAACCGTTGACGCCTGTGTGAAAACAAATTAAAAACCAGCAAACTTAACAAATGGTTAGTTGTGTGACATTAGAACAATTGAAAACACGTTAGGTAAACAAAAAGTTCCTGTAACTGTACTTTGTATACTTTATTTTAGTTGCTGTTACGTAGCATTATCACGTCGCTAGCGTTAATATAAGTTAGCTAGCGTTTACTAACTAGCTAGCTAAAAAGGTTTGCACTTACCTTTGTCATTATGCGGGCAACGTTATTTGGCATTTAAAAAATGCTCGCTCCTCTACAGCTACCTGCTGCTGTATGCATGTTTCCAAGGCAACCTGCCGCCCCTGTCAGAGAGGGCTAATAAAGACAAGAAACTCCATTCGTATTTTCCGTTGTTAGCAGTGGTGGAATGTAACGAAGTACATTTACTCAAGTACTGTACTTAATGTACTTAAGTAAAACATCGATGTACTTGTACTTTACTTGAGTATTTACACATTATGCTACTTTAAAATTCACTCCACTACATTTTGGAGGCAAATGTTCTACTTTTTACTCCACTACATTTTTTTAAACAGATGTAATCACTTACTACTTTAAGGTTTAAGATTATTAATACAAAATATAAATTAACTAATACAATGATAGGTTATTATTATAGGTTAAGTTACTCAATAGCATACAAATAAATTAAAAAAAAACAATAAGTGCAACAAGTGATAATGTATAATGATAATACAAATATATGGTGCTTAAATGGGCCATTCTGCAAAATGGTACTTAAAGCATGGGCGTTGTTAGAAAAAGTGGTGGGGACAATTTCTCCGGATTTAACATCAGCATACTAGAAGACAAATGATGTTCCTCCCCTGGGTGTTGAACCTTAGGCACCTGCATGATAAACCAATGCATAGACCTCTGAACCACCAATGTGTTGGTAAAACAATAAACGCTCAACTAAAGGTCTGGCTGTGATGTGATTTTGAGTGAATTTGTACCTTTATGCACATAACGAGCACACAGCTATGGAGGACAGAACATGACATGAGTAAAAAGTCAACAAGTCAACAAGAGTAGAGTCAACAAGAGTACAGAGTACTTTTGTGTGCACAAACTAGAGGGGCACAGCAAACACCTGTGTGATTTTGGTGACAGTACGACTATCTTGGACAAAGTTATAGTGGGGGTGCCAAATCCGGCAGCCCCAACGCCTGGTCTGCCACATGTGGAAGCCCCTCTTTAGTTTTTCACCTGCTGAGCCCAGAGTCAAATGCTTTTTTTTCAGTGCACAAACTAGAGGGGGACAGCAAACACCAGTGTGATTTTGATGACAGTACGACCACCCTGGACAAAGTTATAGTGGGGGTGCCAAATCCGGCAGCACCAACGCCTGTGCTGGAAGTGTAAAACAGAAGTTGGGACTTTCCTACATTGTATATAGGAATGTGCATTGATTAGACCTTTTTGGGTTAAAGTAGTAGAAGTCCTGAGTAGCTGGTCTGGCTCAGTCATCCCCTTGACTCCTGTTGTGTGTCTGTTGGGGGACAGATCTCAGATGCCACATGTTTCGAAAAGTGCTTTCTCTGTTATAATGGTTGCTTTGATTACAGCTTCAAAAATTAGATTGAGGCATTGGAGAATAGACAAGCCTCCACATATGAAGGAATGCATGGGTTAATGCTATGGTGGAGACATCATCCTATGAGGCTATGCTCACTAGGATGAAAGGCATTGAAAATGCTGAGGACAATCCTTGGGAGCGTTACTTTCTGGACACACATAAAGGCCTACAGAGACTCTATTTCATTTGAATGTTTACCAAGAATTGCACACTTTTTATTTTCCATTGCTGATATACCTAATTTTCTATTTTGTGATTTATTTATTTATTTTCATTGCCATGTCTTTTAATGTCAATGCCTGGACCACGGGAGAGGGATTTGTTTATGCAGTGTACCGCCAATGTGTGTTTGTTCTGAATGGAAAATTCAATACAAATTTGAAATACAAAAAGAAAGAAACATACACAAAGGTACAGGATTTTTTATGTTTTCATTTTCTTTGAGAGTTTTAATGTTTTGAAGATGACATGTCCTTGCCAGCCTAAAGGGGAAACCCCTCACCTCCAAGGGGCGCAAAAAAAGTAATGGTTCACTTCGAATCAATCTCAATGCCATAGCTCAGTGGTCAGAGTAGTCCAGATCCAGATCAATGTGAGACGTGGGTTTGAATCCCCAGTCTGATAGAACATTTTGGGCTGTATATTTAAAAAAAAAAAAAACATGACACATTTAAAAAAAGAAAAAGGAAAAGTTGCTTAAAGAAAATTCAATAAAATTAAGCAAATGCAATAAAAAAAAAATCCTAGATGCAAAAGCCTTTATACCTTAAACAGATGTTATTAATGTAGTAAAACCAGGGGTAGTGTTAGGAGATGTTTGAAGGGATTTTGGTAGAACTTTACTTTATGAGAGGGACGTTATTAATATTGCATTGCAGTCTGCTTACAGTCGCATATGACAGTCGCATATGAAAGACACCAATTGAAATGGAGCTATACACGGACTTGATGCTACAAGATTAAATGGTTTTAAAATTGTAAACACATTAATGGAAAATTAGAAAAGAAGATTTGTGTTGGTGGATGTATTTATTATAAATAAAAATGACACAATGACAATATTTATTACATCTTCTTCATAATTATCAGGCTTGTTTGAGATGAGCT